AGTGTGGGCTGTACTTGTGAGTACAATTTCGTGTATTAATATTGTAGTCGTATTATTTTCCATTATTATTAATATTATTATTATCATAACGAGTAATGTAAAAATAATTATCTTAATATCTGGACTGGAGCACCTGCTATATATTTAGAGATTCCTGAAAAATCCAAAGAAGAATCTGCAATATTATTGTTCCTGACGATATTCAGTCACCCCCCCAACACACACGAGGGTGTCATGTGGCATAAGGCCTTTTTAACGTGGGCATTCCCGAGCCATTAGGCTCGGCCAAAAAATAGCCCATTTGAACCCGTATAAACGGGTTCAGGGCCGGTTTTACCTCCCCGAAGGAGACTCCGCCCTTCGGCGTAGCCTCCTTCGGGTTCCTCCCGCCCATAGGAAGAGAGTTAAACCGAACAGTCGGTTCAGAGTTGATATTATTGTTCCTGACCTGGCACCTCGCCTTCAATCACCATAATGTAACTTTCCTGTGCCTTTTCTCTAAACACTTTCATGGTAATTGTTTTGATGAACTTTCCTTTATGCTACTTAGACTTTAAGAATTTAAGTGCAGTACTAGAGTGGCAGTAAGGTCTCATCATTTTACAGTTGAAATGGCGAGATTTAACCGTAAGCTTTATGCTAACTGTTTCTTCTATCGCACTTCTCGTTTGTGAAAGTCTCTTCCAGCTTTTTGCTTCCAAGTCAACTTTGATCTTCAAAAATTTACATGCAATGCCAATCCTTATCTTCTGTCTTCTTAATTATTGTTCCTTATTGTCATCTCTCCTTAATAGTAGATTTTCTAAAACTCAGTAAGCTACTTGCGTCTTAGTAGATTTATTGCCGAGTTTGATGTGAAACAATAAAAAAAGAAGTTACCGGCGACGTTCGTCGGGACCAGCTGATCCATCCTATCTATATATGCCTCAGCATAAATCCTATTACTTAACATTTTTTTGCGATGTCAACGAAAACTTGTTGCCACTTTTGTGATATCATCGAACACTCGTTCTCACTTTTGTGATGTCAACGAATACTTGTTGTCACTTTCGTTGTAGTAGAGACTATACAGCTATAGTAACACCGATGAACAATACTGGTGTTAGACGACTCCGAATATCACTCGCACTAATCGTACTTGCTCGATAATACTCGCTCGAATAGAAACCCGTATAGTGATCCGAATAGAGAAATAGTATAATGAATAGAGTAGAGAATAGCGGTCTGTATAGTATTAGAGGATAGACTAGAAATGGCGATCCGTATAGTAATAGAGGATAGAATAAAAATTTATTTCGAGCACTGGCAAAAAAAGTTTGCTGAAGACATTAGGTTTATAATACCCAGAAATTCATACAGAGATATCCTCAAGGTCACATGGCACAGTGGATAAAGGCGTTAGTTAATCCAGTGACAGGAACCAAAGAGTATGAGTTCAATACCCGGTTAAGGTTAATGTTAAGGCGGTGGAGGACATGGAGAGGGGAATTAACAGGAGATAACTGACATCCATTAAGAACATGATAGGTGGAACTAGAATGAACGAAATAAATAATTCAGTTCGACATTCCAACCAACTGAAGGCCGGAGCGTACAACGGCCAAAACGTTGTAATAAATATGGCGACAAAGATGAGGACAATAGTCCGAATAATGTAAATAGTGTACATAATACCTCATCTCAGAAATATATACAGATACTGAAAGGCCGAAACGTTGTAATAAATACGGCGACAAAGATGAGGACAATAGCCCGAATAATGTAAATAGTGTATATAATATCTCATCTCAGAATTATAGACAGATACTGAAGAAGGCCGGAGCGTACAACGGCCGAAACGTTTAATAAATAAATGCAAATAATGTGTTTAATTTTCTTGTTTTAATATAGACAGATAGTATTGTTTTCTCATATAGTTAAAATGTTTTTTTAATTCGTAATTTACCGATAGATTTCTTTCATTACAGATGATTGATTGGTTCGTTTTCTTCGGCTTATCAAACCTTTGCGAGTTATTTAAAGCCAGAAAATATTTTAGATTGGAAGATAATAATGGTTTAGTGACACTCTCACTATTTAACCCGTAGCTAGGGGTAAAAGAGGCGAATTCATACTTAATAAGAATTGGATAAGCAAACAAGAGTTTCTAATGTGGATATAAAATGGGGGACCAATTCTATATTGCAATCAACAAATGAACTGATCTCTCACTTTGTGGCCACGATACTTTGCTATTTTGTAGCTAATCTATCTAATATTTTAGTTATTGATTAATTGATTCGATTTCTACGGCTTATCAACCCTCTGCGGGTTATTTAAAGTCAGAAAATATTTTAGCTTGTACAGTAATAATGATTTAGTGACACCTGCCTTACTAGTTAATCCATATCTGGGGGAAGACGAGGTGGATTCATACCTTCCTCAAGGGTATTTGCTCGTAAGTGAATATAACGGACACAACGGAAATTCGAACTCGGCTCTCCGATTAGATATTCCGGATATTATCCATTACACCACACGCACATCATAGCTTTGATCATCTGGTATTACCAAACGTTTACCCATCTATGTACTGATCAGGCTCGATGTTGCTTAACTTCAGTGATCGTACGTGATGTAGCTGTTAGAGTACGTAATTTAACCCTCTGAGCCCTGACCACCGATTTACCGGTGGTAGGGGAAAATGACGTAATGTGCAGCCACCGGTTGAACGGTGGTAAAGAAAAATGATTTAATGCCGAGGGCACCGGTTGAACGGTGGTTAAGTACTTGTAACTATTTTTATATCTACCGTGAAACATTACATACAAATTATTTTCGAATTTTGACTCAGAAGCTCAGGCAGAAGGGTTAAAATTGTTCAGGAACACAAGGCACAAATGGTTAAATGAAACTTATTCCTGTGTATGTCCTGCTAAAATAGGGTCCCGTCTAATATGGCTGTGCGGCTTTTATAGCGTCAAATATATCATTGGCTATTGGTTTGCGTTTGTTTATTTATGCTTATGTCTGCGCGCAAAGTTTCGAGTTTGTGTGTGTGTGAGTGAGTGTTGTGTGTGTGTATGTGTGTGTGTGTGTGTCTTGTGTGTGTATTAGTAAGTGTATGCTTATCTGTGTAATTTTTTGCGTGTGTCCATTATTTTTTCCGTATCTTCAGGGTAAGTGTTGTGGTTTTGCTTTTTCACCGGCGCCGGTATTTCAGCTCCAATGGAAACGCCGACTGTGAAAGAACAACAGGTGCTTTTTATAAACATAATCACATGTTAATGACAGTTTTCAACGTGTCTACTGTTTTGAAATCCTTCTTCTATTTCTTCTTTTTTTTTTCGTCCTTTAAGAAAAATAAAAGTTCCCGCCATCAAGTATATTTATTTCTCAGATCTTCTCACAAAAAGTTGAAATGATTTACTTTTGTGAGATGCAGAAAAAACAATTAAGTGAATACCAAACAGTGGTGACGTGATATAAAAAAAAGGCGGGGGCGGTTTTAACCCCATGCCTTCTTCCTTCCACTGGGCAACACTGCGAATGAATATAAAAGATGTAGATAAATAAAGGTACACACACACACACACACACACACACACACACACACACACACACACACACACATATATATATATATATATATACATACATTAAGAAATGGACAAATATATGTATATACATTATGAAATGGACAAAACCGACAATTATTCTCTAACGTACATTCATATCTGCTCATGGCGTATCCAAATGTAAACAAATGACGTCACACATTATGAAATGGACAAAGTCCGACAATTATTTTAAGACATTTTTTATGTTTATAAGTTCTTTTTATAGATACAAATATTAAGTAAATGCACTGTTTAATTTCTCGGACATTCAGGCCGGTAATTGTTGTTAATTCTCTCCATTTTCAATCGTCTCATTCTCTTTGACTTTTCACTCCCTCTAACCATCTATGTTCTAGTGGTATTGTCGTCTTGTCTAGGATGAAATAACTTTAAAAAAATGAAAGAATATTCGATAATTATTTTAAGATATTTTTATGTTTATACATTACTTTTTTATATAGATACAAATATTTAAATAAATGCTCTGTTTATAATAAACAGTATTAAAAAACATTTAGCGGGCTGAATGTCCGAGACATTGTCATAGAAAATATGCGTCCTCCGAAAGGAATCGAACCATTTTATAATATGTGACATCATTTGTTTACATTTGGATACGCATTGAGTAAATATGAATGTATGAGAAAAAACCATGGAGAATTCTGTTTAACAACAGTAAAATCGATCTTGCTATCCGAAACGCTCCTCTTTAGCCCAATCGATTAAGGCATGTCAGGCTATATGACGGTACCATATAGGGTGCAGGTTCGATTCCCGTCGGAGGACGCATATTTGCTATGAAAATTTCTCGGACATTCACGCTGGTAAATGTTGTTAATACTGTTTATTATAAACAAAGCATTTACTTAAATATTTGTATCTATAAAAGAACGTATAAGCATAATATATATATATATATATATATATATATATATATATATATATATATATAATATGTGAAAAGATATAGAAAATAGGAAGGAACTGGTTAGGTAAATAATCCAAAGTCCCTTAGTATTTTAGTTATTATTTTTAAAAAATAGTGCTCGATACAAAAGTAGAGCATAAATATAATTATTTATTTAAAATATGATTCCAATTCGCGACATAAGAAGTCCCATGTTTCAAAACAAGAGCCGAAAACTTCAATATAATTATTTGAATTAAATTGAGTTAAAGTAAGTATCTACAAGCGAAGGTTCCAAAAAGAATTTCGCTTGAAGATGGAACAGAGCTCACTTTAACTCAATTTAATTCAAATAATTATATTGAAGCTTGTTTTGAAACATAAGACCTCTTATGTCGCGAATGGGAATCATATTTTTAAATAAATAATTATATATATATATATATATATATATAGAGAGAGAGAGAGAGAGAGAAAGATAGAGAGAGGTATACATATGTGTGGATAGATAGATAGATAGATAGATAGATAGATAGATAGATAATGAACACACTGAGCTAAGTAACTAATTAGCTAGCTAGACTGATGTAAAAAACCGAAATAGATAGATAGATAGATAGATAATGAACACACTGAGCTAAGTAACTAATTAGCTAGCTAGACAGATGTAAAAAACCGAAATAGATAGACAGATAGATGGATAGATAGATGGATAGACAGACAGATAGACAGATAGATGGATAGATAGATAGATAGACAGATAGATAGACAGATAGATGGATTGATAGATATTTTTAAATAAATTTCACCTCAATCAAGGCAATAAAGACACTAAAACACAAAGGTTTATTTAGTGCAGAATATTAGGAGCAGAAAAATCGGGAAGTGACAAGAGTAAACATAAGAACAGTGGATAGTGATTGACGATTGAATTTAAATTTCAAAGCTCAACTCTCAATTGATGAGATGTCGATGTCAGTCTAGTATTGCATTTAAATAAATCCAAACAATTGTCATGCAAGTATTTATAGAATAGGCACGCAT